TTCTTGTCTCAGCCTCCTGAGTGCTAGGATTACAGGCTTGAACCGGCATGCTTGACTTTCACTATTTCTCTTTGTTTGTGTGGCTTTTTTATTTTTTTGGTTTATTTGTTTTATTGAGACAGGATCTCACTATGTAGCCCAGGCTGATCTCAAACTGAAGACTCTCCTGCCTCATCCTCCCTAGTGGAATGCTAGGATTATAGGCATGCATCACTGAGTTACATATGTCTTTATTACTTCCCTTTGTTACAAGAACGGTATGTTTAAGACCAATCCATCATCTGGAGTATAGCTCAGTGGTAGAATGCTTATATAGTGTGCACAAGACCTGGATTTGATCCTCAGAACTGAAAAAACAAAACAAAAACATTCCATCATTTCTGTATGTTTTGAATGTTCATCTGGACTGTTGCTCTGTGGCTGGATTTCTCAACCCCCGCACCATTGGCATTTGAGGCTGGAGGCATCTTTGTTCTGGGGGCTGTCCTGTGCTTGGTAGGATGTTTAGTTGCATGCTTGCCCACTATCCACTTGATGCCAGCAGCATGATTTTCCCAAGTTATGACAATCAAAAATAATAAAAAGTCTCTAGATATTGACAATTGTCCTGGCCACCATTGGGAACCATTGCTTTTCTGCTGCATAGAATTCCATCTATGGAATTCCTTTTTTTCCCATTATTTTTGTATTAGGATATGTTCTTTGTACAGAAGGGATTCATTGTGACAATTCCATATAGGCTCATATTGTACATTGGTTAGATAACCCCTACTGTCTCTCCCCCCTCAACCTCTCCCTGCCCCACCTAAAACTATTGCAAGTTTTATTCTGTTAAGTATATGAAGTCCATCAACCATTATTCGCTCACCTTAATCTCCTTCATTCACCTTCCCTCCTCCCACAAGTATACCCCCTATGCACTGTACCTATTTTACAGTCCTGTCTTTCGTTATTAATATCTAAGTTGATGTTCAAAGGGGTTTCTCAATGTATACTTCACTTTGGTCTGTTCAACCCCTTCCAACATTCTCCCTTACCCCTTTACCTCCCACCCCCGGTTTTCACTAGCTTTAATACATATCTTTTTTTTTCTCTATCTTCACAGATGTTATGTTTTACAATATTGATGATGCTCTGTCATTCTCTTTTCCTTTCCCTCCTTTCCTGAGTTCCACTATAACAAACATGTTCTACGTATGAGTTTATATATGATCATGTTTGTTTTTGTGTATATATTTATCTTGTGGATCTATCTTCCATGTATGAGAGAAAACATGTGGCCTTTGTCTCCTGGCTTACATGATGTCCTCCAATTACACCCATTTACCTTCAAACCACATGTTGTTATTATTCCTTAAGTTTGGGTAAAACTCCATTGAATATATATTCCTGATCCATTCATCAGTTGTCGGGTATGTGGGTTGTTTCCATACCTTGGTTTATTGTGAACAGTGCTGCGATAAACATCGGTGTACAGGTGTCTCTGTTGTATCCTGATTTACGTTCCTTTGAGTATATGCCCAGGAGTGCTATCACTGGATCATATCTGCCATCTTCCTTTATTCACACCCTGTGATGGGCTTGCTGTAGCTCCTGCTACACACACAGTGCTGTAATAAACACCACTGTGGTCCAGAGTGGGAAGGCTGGGTCCTGAGGCCAGCCCAGGGTTTATTTGACCAGGCAGTGTCTCAAGGCTGCCCCAGTTGACCTCCCACAGGACCTGCTGCAGTAGAAGCCTCATTCTTCAGCTAAGAACCTATGATGAGCATAATTGTCTATCAATAAGTGAATCTGTACTCCATTAAGTTGTAGCAGCAGTCCATGGTGCACAGCCCACATCTGCACTAATGATCCCCTTTGGCTGGAGATTTAGGTTGTTTCTAATTTCCCATCATTATTCTTAGTGCTTACATGTTTGTTTTTTTTAATGGAAACAAGTCTTTATTAAGTAACTTTTAATATCAGAAAAATAAAACTTATAATTTTCTTTACAGCAAATATATAATATCAATGCTTTGGCCATCTTAAGTTAAAGGCCCTTTCTCATAAAATATATGGTTTAAACTTTACTCAAATTGTATTTATAATCCCTATGACTTCCCTACATATACATAACAAAAGAGTGTACTAAATTTAGCAAACACTAAACTATATTGATAATTTATCATTCTTAGTTTGTAGTTTTTAGAAACAGTACATGCACCTAATATATGTCAATTCCTTGACTTATTAGTTGCAGTGTACAATACAACAAAATACAAAATACATGCTTGGTGAACATTCGTTCATATCCACAAGATGGCAGCTAGAGATTAAGTTTCAATACTGACATATTTAACTATCCTTCAAGCAATTAGCATTACATCATAATATGCCATCAAGGCAACTTTTTTCACACTGAAAAAATCAAAATAAAAACCATTATCTGTAAACTTTTATACGAAATGTAACTCTTCAAATGGAAATAAAAAATAAAATTTGTCTATTTACTATTGAATATACATAGGATTTCAATTTTTGTCGTACTGAGAAAAAAGCTCTTTTATGTTGGGAAAATAACATTTCAAAAAAATAATTACTAGAAAAACCCACTAGTATAATGTTTTGTCCTTTCAATGCCAGCAGAGATTTGGGAATATACTGAGGATGAAGTAGTGGACATCCACAGGTGAAATGTATAAATGTATTTTAAAGAAATCCTTCCTTATTATTGGAAACAGTTTTGATATGAAGTAAACTGATTGGAGGTTGTCACAGCTGCTTTCGTGAGTTATGCCCAGTGCATTATTATCTCCCTCCCTCTCCCCTACATTACTAAAAAATAAAAATATATTTATAATGTGCAAGACAATATGGATTGAACATAAAATGTTTCACATTTTGATCTACAGTCTAAAATTAATTAATAGCTCTATTAGACCAATGAATGGAATGTTCACATCCTCAATTTTCAGCCAATGTAGATGCATCCCAAAGCCCTTCCTGAAATGGGGAAACCCGACAGTAATTTCCACATTCACCAAGGCAACGGGCAGGAATTCACAATCAAAACCATTGCATTCCTGATCCACTGATCATACCAGCCTTGAGCACTCTGGGCAAGATGAAGGTCAATGTAGCAGTTTTGTCCCAAATTATAACCAGTGATCTAGTAAGCGGCCATCAGCCCTATTATTACCAATAAGTAATCACAATGCATTGAAAAGTTACTTGTAATCCTGCAGAATTAGGCATAAGTTGTGCAAAATAAAAAACAAACCTGCTCTGTCAAAACTGGCAGTGTAAAGAAGGCAGCACTGGAAGTGTCTGAGTCATCTGTAATGCCAAGTACCCTACATCAACTCTTGATGTGGTTAGGCTTTGGGACCAGTTGTCTGGAATCTCAGACTTACACATTTTTCTTATAGGTCATACAACCTATGATCTTCACTCAGCCAAGAAGAATTTCAGCTTAAGCAATTCTCACACAAGCTATGTCTCTGGGTCTACAGAATAGTGTTAATAATTCAAACCAAATTAATAGACAAGAGACCACTTAGGTTTAGTGTTACCATAGCAGCCTTTTATAAGTTTACTAACAGCTTTAGCCTAATCCCAATAAAGCCTGATAACAGTCATAAGAATTCATTAGGAAGTTTACTGGGGGTACCTTTTTATCCATGCCTTTACGAGTCCATATAGAGATATAGTATTTATGTGTGTGTGTGTATATATACATATATACACACACACACATAAATATATACATAAATACATGTATAGTTAAGAGTGAATTTGGATTGCCTGAGTAACAGCTGTCTGGCAAACTGGACATGACGGCATTCTCTTTTCACAGATCTTGTTGGCCCATTCAATGCAGAAGAGGTTGTGGCCACATGGAACTAGGGCAGCAATAATGTCATTCTCAAAGCAAATCACACAGTTGTGCTTTCTTCTTGATTCTGGAGGTGAGCTAGAGGTAGAACCATCATTGGAAGAGGAGTAACTATTGGTACCATTAGAAAAAGCAGGGATGTATATTGGAAGGCCAACATGGACTTACATGGATTTTTAAGATGAGACATAGGCCTTCAGGGACCCATTCTGTCTGTGGAGCACTGCTCTGGGCTTTGCCCCCTACCCTGACTTCCAGTTCTCTCTCAGCTCTCCCTTTCCTTTTAGAGGAACTACCATAAGCTGCTCTGTGCCTCAGTTTCCCCACTGGGGGACTTCAGTGGGAATGACCTGCAGTTGCTCCCCTCCTCCCTGGTTCTGAAGTCTCCTTTAGGGGAACAAGAGCTCCTCAATCCAAGGGCCAGGTGGAAAACTTAAGGTCAATTCCCACTAGAAAGAGAGCCAAGGGAAATGGGACTCTCCAAAGGAAAGGCAAGGCCCTCTCTGTCCCCTTTCTTAGTTGCTTCCTGGGGTTGCCTGTCCTAGAAAACAGGAATCCTCACCCCTTGCCAGGGTAGATGGGCAGTGAGTCCCTCCTTTGAGGGGCAATCAACTTTATAGTTGTGAGGGACTGGTGGGTCATATACTGGGAGATCTTAAAATTTTCCGAAGTCAGGCATCCAGATTTTTCAAAGTTGACATGCAGTTAAAAAAAAAAAAGTGAATGTCAGTCTGAGTGCAGCCTCAGATTGGATCATCTCTTTGTAAACTTGGCTGAGGAACTGTCCATAGTTGAGTCCATGGGTTCTGGGCAGTTGTTTCTGGGATCAAAGCAGAACTGCCAGGTGGAGACAGCACAGTCCTGGACTGGCAGAGATAGAGGGGCCAGTGGAGAAACTGAGGCTGAGTGAAGGGACTTTTCCAGCTTACACACATAGGTCTCTTTCTTATAGCTCAGGGCTCTTGGATCACTCCTAGGTCCTGGTCTGTTGCCCAAACTAAGTCCCCTCTTGGCCAACTGTGTTTTGTAACATTGGTCAACACTTGGTCTCTAGCCAAGGAAAGGAGTGGTTCTTTCAGGAAGGCAACAGCCCTTGGGCAAGGCAGCTCCAATAGGACCTAAAAGGGGCTGAAAGTGGCAGTGGATCAGAGCGAGGACAATGGCAAGGACCTGGAAGGCACTCATATTGGTGGTGGGTTTGGCAGTGGTGTCCTGTTTGGCCCGTCGCCACCCGAGTTATGATGATATTGTTGCCAAGGCCTTGAAGTTCTACAATGAAGTGCAGCAGGGAAGACCTCTCTTCCGTCTGCTGGAGTCCACCCCGCCACCTCGAGTGAGTGTCTGGGAAGCAGGTACCACTGGCTACTTTACACCTGTGAGGATGACAGGTGGGAGAGAGTGCCTGACATAGGCTCAAAGTGCTTGGCTAACATTAGCTATTGTTCTTATCATTATAATGTTTCTTCTACCTGAAGGTAGGATAAGATAATACTCTGTTTGACAGCTGCCTGACTGGCAAATTTGGGGCTGCAGCTGGGAATCTGTTTAGGCCCTGGGCTTGAGGGAATGCAAGAACTGTTTCAAAGGACAGACAGGAAGGAACTGTACTGGTCTCACTGGGTCTTCTTCAGGGGCTTCTGGTTTCTCCTTCCTGCCCCCATCCCTCTCTCCTGGCAGCCCAACATGTGGATTAGGGATTCTTGTTCCTATTTCACAGGTGAGGCTATTGAGGGACAAAGGCAGGAGGATCATACAGTTATTAGTGCAATATTTTGCCTTCTTTCCAAGGGACTGGGCCCCTAACTCTGCTGAAGTCACTTATCAAGCCGTGGGCATTGGTGGGATAAGCCACTGCCTACTTGGTAACTTTAACCTCTCTATGCTTTTGTTCCCTTATCTTTAGAACTCCACCAGCAGGATCCCACTCAATTTCAGGATTAAAGAGACAGTGTGCGTTTCTGCCCCAGAGAGACAGCCCAGAGAATGTGCTTTCCGAGAGGATGGGGTGAGTCATCTTCTTCCAGTTCTAGCCCCTTAGTTGACAATGAGAGTTCCCCTCTCTTCTGGCCTCAAGGGACTGTGTGTCTGCCTCCAGCCCCCTCACCTGACCTTCTTACCAGAGCTTTGAATGTGGAAGCCTTTTCCAACACTAGATTTTCCTTGTTATAAATTATTATAAATCCTTATATAAAAGCAAAACCTGCTAAAAAAATTTACCAGATATATAAAAGAACAAAGTGTGACCATAATTCACTTAGAGATAATTGCTTTTTAAAAAATAAAGTCAGAAAATAACATACTTTTAATTTGATTCTGCTTCTTCAAATTCAGAAAATGTACTATGTTATTTTCTGATCTGCTACCCCACTCTCCAGGGACAGGCAACATTAACCATCGATGTCCTCTGTATCTTTATGCACACACATGTATTTTATTTCATTTATTTATTTTTTTAATTGTTTTATTATTCATATGTGCATATGAGGCTTGGGTCATTTCTCCCCCCTGCCCCCACTCCCTCCCTTACCACCCACTCCGCCCCCTCCCTCTCCCCCGCCACCCCCTCAATACCCAGCAGAAACTATTTTGCCCTTATCTCTAATTTTGTTGAAGAGAGAGTATAAGCAATAATAGGAAGGAACAAGGGTTTTTACTAGTTGAGATAAGGATAGCTATACAGGGAGTTGACACACATTAATTTCCTATGCATGTGTGTTACCTTCTAGGTTAATTCTTTTTGATCTAACCTTTTCTCTAGTTCCTGGTCCCCTTCTCCTATTGACCTCAGTTGCTTTTAAGGTATCTGCTTTAGTTTCTCTGTGTTAAGGGCAACAAATGCTAGCTAATTTTTTAGGTGTCTTACCTATCCTCACCCCTCCCTTGTGTGCTCTTGCTTTTATCATGTGCTCAAAGTCCGATCCCCTTGTTGTGTTTGCCCTTGATCTAATGTCCACATATGAGGGAGAACATATGATTTTTGGTCTTTTGGGCCAGGCTAACCTCACTCAGAATGATGTTCTCCAATTCCATCCATTTACCAGCAAATAATAACATTTCGTTCTTCTTCATGGCTGCATAAAATTCCATTGTGTATAGATACCACATTTTCTTAATCCATTCATCAGTGGTGGGGCATCTTGGCTGTTTCCATAACTTGGCTATTGTGAATAGTGCTGCAATAAACATGGGTGTGCAGGTGCCTCTGGAGTAACCTGTGTCACTGTCTTTTGGGTATATCCCCAAGAGTGGTATTGCTGGATCAAATGGTAGATCAATGTTTAGCTTTTTAAGTAGCCTCCAAATTATTTTCCAGAGTGGTTGTACTAGTTTACATTCCCACCAACAGTGTAAGAGGTGTCCCCCCCGCCACCCCGCATCCTCGCCAACACCTGTTGTTGGTGGTGTTGCTAATGATGGCTAGTCTAACAGGGGTGAGGTGGAATCTTAGTCACACACATGTATTTTAAACAGCTACGATTTTCTCTGGGCATGGTAATTCGTGGATACCTTTTCTCATTTAATAATTTACGCGGATGTCCTTTAATGGCTGTGCACGCACTTCTCCCAGGTCCTTCTGGGATGGCCTCTTGTCCTGGCTCTGTCCTGTACCTCGGTTTAGGGACGGGTTGGGGTTCTCTCCAGGCTCAGGCCCCGGAGACTGGCGCAGGCGCGGTTCGGTGTCCTCCGGGTGACCAGTACAGCCTCTGGTGCTCCCCGGGAGGGTGACTGGACACTTCCAGCTCCTGTCCTGATCAACTACAGGAGGAGCGGACCTGCATCGGTGAGCTCTCGAGGCGGCGTCTTTGGCACTTCCTGACCTTCACCTGCGACCGAGACTGCCAGAGGGACGGGAGGGACTCGCAGGTGAGCCACCCCTCCCTGTGCTCTGCCCCCCGCCCGGCTCCTCCTCCCTGCGGCCGCCTGCACCCCACAGCCCGCCGCACGGGGCCTCTCCCGCACCCTGTCTCCAGGGTACCACCCGACACTGAAGTGCCCACCGAGGTAGCCCATGGCGCCTCTGGTTTACCTGGAAAATGGGACTATCAGGCTCTTCTCAGCAAGTTGTCGCAGGGGGGGAGGGGACGAGGAAGGGACAGACCTTCCCGAATCAATCCGAAAGTTGTTCGGTGGGAGGGGAGATGGGACCCTGAGAACTCAGCACTCTGGGGCTGACCCCAGCTTGGAAAGTCACCTCCCTCCGATCCAGGCCGGGCTTGGCTGTATGGGCTCCTGCAGTTGGGGGCTAGTCAGGGGCGTCTGGGCCCCATCTCGCCTTCCCTGGCTGTGCCTCAGGCTTCTTATTCCCGCCTTGAGGGAGGAGTCACAGGCGGGGCAGGAATGGGCTGATCAATGATGGTGATGGTGACGACTGACTATCCAACATTGCTTCTGCAGGTCCCCCGCGTGAGGCGTTCTGCTGAATTCCCTGAGGCAGAGAAGGTTGAGGACCCCCAGGTGCCGCCTGCGGCCAGGGACTTATATGAGAAAGCCAAGTACGACATCATCAACAACATTCTGAGTAATTTCTAGGACTGGAGAAGGGAGGGGAGGCCCTGAATCTCCACCATGACCTCCCCTTCCCCACAGTCCACCTCCCTCTGTTGCCTGCTGCACCTTCTTTCCTGCATAGTCCAGGGTGACCTCTTTTAGAGGGACGTCCAAATTGAGAGCACAGCCACACTCCTTTGCCTTTGCACACCTGCTTCCCTCTGCCTGGATTTCCTGTCCCGTCCTGTGTCTGTAAATCCTATTCATACTTCAAGACACAGTTCAAAAGTCACCTCCTGCTCTCCCAGGGCAGAAGTGTCCATCCCTCATTGGTTCACTAACAATCCTCAAACCATCTTGGCAGCACTGTGTCTACTCACAGCTGGGCTCTCCTAGACCAGCTGTGGTGGCTGTGGAATGGGTCTCTCAATGAGGTGCTTCTGGCCTTCTGGGAGGGTGATTCCTTTTGTGCAAGACCCTGAGTACCCCTGCTTCCTGCCTAGTCAAATGCCTATCCAGGCACCTCTAAGGGGACCAGATCATCCTTGAGTGAAATCCTTGAGTGAATAAAATGTTTCTGAAATGAATGGCTACACGACTGAGCAAATGAATAACATGTTAAAGGCTGAATGAGCTGTGCTTAGGGTGAGGAGACCAATGGGGCAGGCCCTTAGTAGATTGTTGGGGAGACCCAAGACTCCCTGACGTCAGGGTAGGGACCATGGAGAGGAACTAAGGACAAGAAGAGAGGCCCAGGAAGGTGGAGTAGTTTGTCCCCAACCTCAGCTACCTTTAGTTCCATTATGCCCCCAACTTTATCACAAAGCTTCAGGCAGAATTCTCTGAACTCTGACTTGCACACAGACTGCCTCCTGGATACCTTCTTGTGGATTTGCAAAAGGGCGTCACACACTCAGTACCTTCCTGAAGCCCATCCCAGTCAGCTGTTGGCAACTTCATCTACTCCAAAACCTGTCATCCTTGCTTCCTCACTCTTTTTGCAATCATCATTGGTCCACCAGAAAACCATCTGTCCAGGTCATGGATGCCTCCCTAGCCCTGAGAACCAACTCTGGCATACTGGCTCAGCAAATTCTTGTTGAACAGATGTGTGTGTATCTTTTTTGTTTCATTAGCATGCTTCATCTCCAAGTGCTGGCTACAGAAACTACTGACCCAAACTCTCATTCCAGGGGCTATGGTGTAGAGTTTCTTGAGGAAATGGACTTTTTAGTAATAGTTGGGGAGGGGGAGAGGATCCATGTTCATTCATAATAGCTAACATTATCTTAATGCCACTTTCCATACAGTCTTTCACTTAGTTCTCAGAATATCCCCGCTAGCTGCATTCTATGTGGGAAAAACCAAGCCTCAAGGAAACTGTTTCACTGCCTATAGTCCAAAGTCCAACCCCCTTGCCACCTAAATCCTGGGTGGTGTCCACTGCTGAGGAGGGGGAGGGGAAACTGCAGGGAGTGATCTGGAGTGGGGTTGTTAAATGGGCTAAGCAGGATAAGCAGAGATGTTTAGACCCTCTTCCTCATAGTGGGGAAATGATGTTCAGCTGGAAGAGGTCACTTGAACTCTTCTGTGGGGGTCAGCCCTACAGAATGTACAGCATCTCATTCATACTTAACTTGACCCACACTACTGAAAGAGTGCTTGATAGCCCTATCCATGTCTTGTGGGATTCACCACACCCAGCCCTTTGTGGGTCTTGGACACCATGGGCCTGAGCCACTTCTCCCAGGATGCTGAAGGCCCTTCTATTGTGTTCAACACAAGGCCTGGGGAAACTGGTATGCCATGCTGTCCCTTGCAAGAAGAGGCTTGCAAGGACCAGCCACAAGGCCCTGATTCTGGCTGATGCTCTGGTCCGGTCAATAATTGAAGTAACAAGCCTTAAAAGACAGAAAATTCCAACATTATTTAAATTTTAAGAGTTCATATAAGATAATGTATATCTTATAATATATATATATATTTCCTTCACCCACATTTTCTATACCACATTCTTTCCTACCCTAAATCCCCACTTCTTCTAGTTTCTTACAGTTTATGTTCAACCAAATTAGAGTTCAATTCTATAAAAGATACAAAATTAGATCTGAAAAATAGAACAAGCCATGCTCTAATCTAAGCTCTAAGAGGCAGGGACTTTTATCAATTTTATTCACTGCTCCATACTTAAAGTTCAGTATCTATTGATTAAAAATAAATCCTGGCCATAGAGTTGATCCCTAAAAAATCAAATTGAAATATTTCAGGGGCTGGAGATGGAATTTTGCCCTGGGTTCCATTCCCAACATTGCTAAAAAAATAAAGTCTTTTTGGGTTTTTGGGCAGTACTGAAGCTCAAACTCAGAGCATCAAGCTTACTAGTCAGGTTCTCTACCCCTTGAGCCACTCTGCCAGCCCCACTTGAAAATAAGTCTTGAACAGTGGGAAGGTTTACTATCATGAATAAGTCAGTTTTCTCAAAATGAATAATTATTTTTGCAGTACTGGGGTTTAAATTCAGGGCCTTACACTTCTTAGGCAGGCACTCTACCACTTGAGCTACACAGCCCTCAAAATGAATACATTTAATGCATTAAAATCCACTAGGATCCAGCCAGGCATGGTGGCACATCCTGTAATCCTAGCAGTTGAAGGCTGCAGGAGAATGGCAAGTTCCAGGCTAGCCTGGGCTACACAGTAAGACACCGTCTCAAAAAAAAACAAAAACAAAAACAAAACCTCCATCTCCACTCCCCCACCCAAAAAAAAAAAAAAAAAAAAAGAATTAGGATCCTAACAGTGTTTGTGTGTTGTCAATGGATTAATCTTAAAATTTACATGGAAGAATAATTGTCCAGAAATAGCCAGGAAAGTTGTGAAAAGGAGCAGTGACTTGGGACAAAGTGACTGTGGAACCCAGAATTAGGTCACCATATATATGAGAAGGGAATATATGAATGAGAGCATTTCCTTCCTTTCTCTCTCCTCCCCCTCCCTTCTTTCTTTTTTGAGACAGGTTTGGTTATGTAGCCCAGACTGTCTTGGAACTTGGGATCTTCCTACCTCCATGCATAACAACACCCCATGAAAGGTGAATTTTTAACAAATGAGAAGGCCTAACTGGTTTATTACCTAGTGGAAAAAATATATACCAGCTGAGAACAATTCTAACTGGATGAAATATTCATATGAAACGCAAGATAATAAAATCTTTCAAAAAAACCAAATGGCCAAAACCTGGAAACAACCTAGTTAAGGAATGACAGAATAAATGCTAGGAAAAATATACCCAGGGACTTGACATGGCTTTAAAAATGGATTAGATCTTTGATAGAAGGTGTAGGGAAAATGGACAAAAACATCCAAACATGGACATGCATGCATGTATATAGATAAATGATTTATATGAACACAGGGAAAAATAAAGACAACATTTGTAACAAGTGTTAGTGTAGGGAGCTAGTGATACAGGTGGTGGAAAACAAGAAGGGATTCAAGCAAAATAGGAAATCTAAAAGTGGGGTGTTCACTTTAGCAAAGCAAGATGATGAGGCATATTTCTGCACTTCTGTGGTATGTGGGTATGTATGAGGTGGTCATACACATAAAGAAAATAAAAACTGCAACATGGGGAGAATTTTGGACCATGTAAGAACAAGGAAAAAGTGTTTGTTTAATATGATAAAGGTAGGATCCTGAAGTTTACCCATGGGAGATGATCAGCCATCAGATTCAGCATACCAGATGCCAGCACAGAAGCTGCTGAGCTGGAGCTGCCCCAACATGATGAAGAACAAGAAACTTTTGGAGCTCCCAGGATCCCTTACCATTCCAGCATGATCTCCACCCTGGTACCTGGAGCCCAGATGGTCACAAAGGACCCATCTACTTGGGAAAGGAGACAGCAGACCTTGGGGGACCCAGGAGTCACTGTGAGAACCAGTGTTCTGCTGCTGTTTTGAGCTATAATTGATGTACAATATCTTGTACATATTCAGCGTACACTTTGATGAGTCTGCTATATATGCCTGTGAAGCAATTACCACAATTAAGATAAGTGAACATCCTCACCAGCCCCAGGTTTCCTCATGCCCTTTGTAATCCTGCCTCTTGCTTGCACTTCTGCCCCTCCCAATCCTGCTGTCTTTGGACAACCACTGATCTGCTTCCTGTCACTACAGATAAGTTTGCATCACCTAGTTTTATATAAATGAAATCATACATGTATTCTTTCGCCTGGCTTCTTTCACTGAGCAGCATAATTTCAAGATCCATTCATGTGGGTCTATCAACAGTCCATTCCTATAATTGCTGAGTATTTATGTATCACAATTTGTCATCTATCTACCTGTTGATCTTCTTTATTTTTTTCGGCTTTTTTGGGGGGCCACTTTATTGAGTGACCACAAATATGTCTCCTCTGCTTTGTTTGCTCATTTAGAAGATGCATCTAGAAATGCTGTGTCTTTAACTAGGCCATCAGGAAGGATCTAATGAGACAAAGCCTCTAAAACAATGACAGCTCTGCTTGGAATGGAAGGACTAAGTGCCCCATACCCTCCATCTCTTGGGGCTACACATCCTATCTGTTAGGCGGATGTATCTGAACTCTCCCCCAAGCCATCCGGACAGAACATGGCCTGAGGCCTTGAGGAGTCTGAGCATACTATAATTTTATTTACAGCTTTATAAGTTTAATTCTGGTTGCTCTTCTATAGATGGCAGGAGGTACAAGGGTGGAAGTAGGGAGACCACTGTAGTAGCCTAGGTTCTAAAAAATATGCTCATGGTGTGAACTAGTGGGGAGGCAGAAGAGAGTTGGATTGAAAGTAGAGGCAACAGAGCTAGGCAATGGCTTGGGTGTTGGACAGGAGGAAGAAATGAATGACTATCATATCATCTCTTCCCACTTTAAAACTCACCACTGACTTCCTGAATAAACAACTGGGCAGGTGAGAGCTGAACTGTAAGGATGGGAGATGCTAGGGGGCTGGTCAGGTTTGAGGGTAAGTTCAGAGTTTCTATTTTGAGTATAGTCATTTTGGGTCATATCCAAGTGAAAATATGAATCTGGGTGGTTCAGAAATAAGACTCCAGACACCTTCCTCACATATGGGAAGTGGTGATGTCAACTAGGGAGAGTATCCAGAGTGATATCCGAATCCAGGGCTAACCTCCAAGGTCTCCTATATTTGGAAGTTAGAAAGAGGTAAAGGGGGCAGTATGACTGGAGAGTAGGGAGATAAGCACCCTCAGACAAGAGACAGAAAGTAAGTGAGGGGCTTATGAAGACAAAGACCAAGATTACTTACTCTGATAATCTCAATCCCTGCTGGTGGGGTAAGATTTCCCCTATCCATAAAAGTTCAACTCCCTAGGAGAAGCAGGTGCCCACCATCAGGGAACACCCAGTTAAATCTTTTTTTATTCTTCCACATTTTAATGAGGCTTGGGACAAGCAATAAAATGTTTTTGATCTTCAAATTTTCATATGTCTCCAATGGGGATAATAAAATCATAGCACAATTTAAGCATCTTTTATGCAAGGGAGATTCATAAATGTTTGCATACAGATTTTC